GGGGGGGGGGGGGGGGGGAACACAAGACAAAAAGTTTCATGAGAAAAATGCGGGCTTGGAAAAATCAAGGCTTGCCCAAAAGGCTCGAGTTATATCGAGATATATTGGTATCTCTCTCCTCCGCAGAGGCTTTAGTTTTCCTAGGACATTTCACTACACTTTACATGGCGGATTACGCTCGTGTTCCAAGATCCGCCATGTAAAGTGTAGTGAAATGTCCTAGGAAAACTAAAGCCTCTGCGGAGGAGAGAGTATTGGTATGGAAATTTTAACTGTTGTACTGTGCATGTGATTTTATATTTTTGTTGGGTAGCCCGTGGTCACATGAACGCTATTTTCTGCACAGTTCTGGGCAGTTTGAGGCAAATTTTTCCAGGAATTGAACAGAGTTAGGGTCAAGGTGACTGGGGGCAAATCCATTCATGTGGGGCAATTCCACCAGGTTATATATAGTTAATTTGATTTGTTAATTGCACCTAGTGTGACTGGTGTCAATGAATGAATGATTGCGAATCAAATAATTGGGCTTCCTTTAGACCTTTAACCAATCAGAATTTAACAATTTTTCATTCAAAAATAAAATAAGTTATTTTAGACAATGCATTGTATCTGTTTTTATAACGTAACAACTAACAACTAGACGACAACAAATATACAACACTCATTTTATTGAGCAAGTTTGTTGATAGCTTCACTGTAAATTGATTAAACCAAAGACTAAACTTCATAGCGCTGCTGTTATAAGATCTTATAACGGTCCGTATTAATCGTCAAAAACTGAACCCTTGAATCCCACAGTCAGTACCCCCAAAACATATTTATATGTGTTGAAAAATTGTTATTATGCATGTGGTTCTGAATGCATAAGCAAACATTGTTCTAAGCAACGTTTTGACGATCTTTACACAAGCTTAGGAAATCACACATAAATTAACGGATGTGCAAATCCAAACTGTCATGGCTAATAACGCGGATAAAATATTGACAGTTGGCTTTCTTAAACAAACTTTTGTCTTATAATGAGAATATCGGCTGTGTCGCTTCTCAAACGAAAATTGATATTATAAACGTTAAACTATAACTAACCTTATTTATACTGCATGGATATATATTATAGGCTGCAACTGACTAGTAATAGGCTATCCGTTATATGTCATACCCATAGCCCAGGCGTACGAGAAAAACGCCATGCCATGGAAATTCGGGCTGCCAACCTGAAAGTTAGGAAAAATCAAGAAAAGTCGGGGAGATTTATCAAAAATATGTTAAGTTTAGATGATAATAATTCTTTCCCAGCGTGAGACAGATTAAACTAGTAAATTAATAATCACACGTTTCTGATATGGCCAATACAATAAGAAAGGTTTAAAGTGATTGCGTGGCAATCTCTACCATAACTCATACGATATTTAATCATTTACAAACATGTTTGCTCAGTGTTTACTCGCGTTAACTCTAAGTAAACATACACTACAGCATACAGGTGTGAATTTTGACGTCTTTCAGACACGTCATGGATGGCGCCATAAGTCGAACGCTAAAATTGATTCAGGATAGATAACAAATAGCCAAAATTTGAGCACAAAAGGACCGGGGGGGAGAGATGTTTCCTCTAATGCAGACTAAAAACCTGTCATCCACATAACTCCTGACTACCGTTTGCAGTGCATATCCCAAAACCTTCGCAATAACTAGTTTTTCCCAAAACCCCTGATCGAACAGCGAAAACTATCCGATCCCCTGTAGACTGCTGCATGTATACGTTTTTTTGCGCCGTTGAGCCTCCATATTGAATTACTCATGCTAACGCGCGCCCGCATTATAATATTCTACAGTCAGCAATCCGGGCCTATCGACTAAAACTACAATTATTAATCGTTCTTTCTCAAAGCATCATTTAAGATGCGCATGCTTATTGGAAATAATATGAATCGACTTTCCGTATTTTTACCTAATCAGTTAAAATAGTATGACATTAATTAAATTTTTCACGTTTTGGATTTAATCCCTCCATCGATCTAATCCGGTATGATCGGCGGCCGAAACGTTCCTGAAACAGCCGGTTAACATCCAACGATTATCCAAAAGCCTTGTTAATAAAGCGTTTTTGGAAAAACTACTTTCACTTATCTGCAGTTGCAAGTGCTTGGTTTTTGTGTATACTTAATCAGTATGTTATCAAGTGATTAAATTAACTCGGCAATTGACCAATTGTAAATAAGACGAGTTGTTAAAAATACAGATATGACCAGCTATCTTCTTTTAATAGCCGACAAAAGGCGCCTTGATTCTAAACTGCTTTTCATACCATCTTTATCTGCCACTTATCAATTTCCCACAAGTTATACACTTAAAGTTTTAATGCGTATATTTGACTATGATATATGACCCTATATATTGACCACTACTTTGTTGAATGTTGTTATCTATATATGTATGTGTGTATGTTTTCCTACGTACACCGCCGTTGATCGCAGCCAATTAACTCAAGGAAACACGTTACTATGAACGTTGTTTTCTCTCTTGTTTATTATTCCGTAATAGCCCGCATGGTTGCTTAAGGACTCTCCGTAGAATCCGCGAAACGCTATTTTCAAATGCATACAAGAGAAAACAAAGCTCATTCATGATGCATGGCGCACGAATATGCAACCTTGGACCTTGGTGCCCTGCTTGTTGCAGGGGTAATGTGATGTGCATGAATCATTCATTTGCAGCCACTGTCTGCCTTTCTCACCACTGATTCCAAAATTTGGGAACCATTACATTATTTTTAAGTTCGGTAGTTTGTCCAACTTTTTTTTCTGTTCAAGTTCTTGTATATTCCAGTTGCAAGATCTTTTTTCTTTCCCTAAATGCTTGAATGTTGGGCATAATATTCATTTTAAACATACGCCCTCCCTTAATTAAGCAAACCATTAGCTAATGTACTGTGGTCTTACGCACTGAATTATCTTCAAGTTCAGGCAAAACAGGACATTTAGAGTTTTATATGAACCTTCAACACACAGTCGGTTCATCTTTGCCGCATATTAAGAATACCGGCCACACAGAGCGACATCTTAAAACATTAATAAAAAGAAATGTCATGACAGTTATAACGCGTGCGACATCTCATAATGCGAGGCATCTACATGTCTACAGGGGCCTACAGGGTAAATTTTTTGCCTGTGTGGATTGCATGGCATACACCCAAATAATACCGCATTACAAGAACTAAATGTCGCTTGAATTAACGTCCAAAGACATTATTGACAGTTTCAAAGTTGAATAAGCTTATTCCAGTAACAGCATAAAAAGTTTCGGTCAGGAAAAAAATTTTCGTGACACGATTCACCCCGGCTACGTATGAACAGCGAATATTTAATCTTCCTATCTCAGATACATGCTTTGATTCAATTTCCGCACGCAATACAAAGTATACAAAATTTGCAAACTTTGCAAGGCTATATTTTCCGCATTTTACAACATTTCGCAACCAAACTTTGCAATTTTACTCATGTTAGTATGTTCTTTCTAGCTGTGGTGATTTATTTGCATCTCCTTGCCTAGTTTTAAAATTTATAAAAGTATTTAAAAGTTGCGATCAAACTGCGTGATCACTGCACCACTCCCGCAAATTATTCAGCTGCAAGTACAAAATGTTGCAAGGTGACAATGTAGCCAAGATGGCGGAAGAAAACAATCAGTGTTTATCAAGTTAATTCCTCTAATACCTCTCTACAAATTGATTTCAACTGTGACACTAATTGAAAAGTGCCCGGAAACTAGGACCGCCTTGTTTTATTAAATGTTTTCTCTCATTAAGTCTTATCATCAGCTCATCTAGCAAACACGTTGTGCGGTCATACAAACAAGCGCAATTTTAATTTGACACGCGCGCACGCACGCAATGAAAGATTGTGTTTAATTAACATACGCTGCATTATTCGTTTGATACTTCAATTGGACGCACTTTGTCAGCTTCTTGACTTGTATTTCTTGCTTTTTTATTTATTTGATTAAATATTTCAACTTGAACGAGAAATTTATTTTATTAAAGGATTCTTCGGATCGGATCGGAATTCTTTATCAAAACTCGGATTGGAATCGGATTAGACAATTTCGGATCGGATTTTAAACGTTAGCCAATTGTCGGATTACAAACGTCCAACCCGATCCGATGCACACCTCTACTTTCTTGTCAGCGAAAACAGCGAATGAATTAGCATGAACGTAATAAAGATAAATGAGGCTTCGCTACAGTGGCGTCCATCCTCTTCCCAATGACCTCCAGGGCAATTCTTGTGAAAAGCAAGGTAAAAAGTTGAAATTTGGGCAGATATAGTGCGGAGGAGAGTGTGTGATGTCTGGAATAACGACACCCTCAACATTATTTACGCCAATCATTTATCTGCCAGGGTTGGTGCTACAAGGGGACTGGGGGAAAATATTGAATCCCAGTCGACAAAACATGGATTTGGACAGAAAGAAAAAATATATTTGAGTGACACCAATTAAAAATTACGAATGATAGTTGAAATGTGGAGAAATTTACAAAACAATTAGGGGAAAATGAAACGAACCACGGTGGTTAAACACAAAATGAGATTGACAAGATGTTGCCCGGAATATTTTTTTTTATGTTAATATGTGAATATTTTTATGTGAATATTTTTTCTTATTGGCTTGTTCGTGGTGATGGTTTTTCTTCAACTGTTCTAGGAACCATACACATTCTCCAGAGGGCTAGCCTGCAAGTATAGAGCCTGCTCGCATGCTACATATTGGAGCATACTCCTAAACCCATCTTAGGATTCTTGCAGTGTTGCAAGCACCCTGGCATACAGGTTTGCAAGAAAAAATAGATGTATTTTTCAAGTAACAGCATTTGGTAGAGTGCCTTGCTGCTTAATAGGATACAAAGTCTCTATCTTAGTCCACTTCCATTTTTTATGTAGAGTGTAGAGACTAAAAGGCAGAGCTTGAAATTTTCAGCACCATCCAGTGGGATACTAGAAACTTGAGATCTGGTTTCCATCCCAGAAAACTAGTATCCCATATTTGCACAGTAGTATCCAAACACTGAAACAAGGCAAACTGAGTTTTTAAAAATTGTAATGAATTTGATAAAATACTGAATGTAAGGTATGGTATAAAAGGAACATCTGTGGAGAAGAGAAATTTGTTTGGTATCCCAATGGGTACTGAGTTTGTCATGCCCAATTCAGGGTGTTAGCCAGAAAAAAAAGTTTTGTCCGTTAAACGCAAAGTGGGAAAGTTTTTTTGACCGATCAAAGTCGGAATAAATAGTGTTTTTTTCCAACATGTTTCTCCTTAGATGCAAACAATGGTAGCTTGGTTTTGTACATTTCATTTCCGGTGAATGATCACTGAAAAATGCAACCGATGGCACTTCGTTTTGTATATTTCATTTCCGGTGAATGAACACGGATGCACACCGATTACACTTTGTTTTGTACATTTCATTTCAGTGAATACACACCCAATATGAATGGAAAGCGATACACTTTGAGAAAATAGTCAATGGGAAAAAGTAAATAAAACATTCTTTGATATAATAATATAAAATCAAACCCAATGCACTTTCACATCAGAAAAAATGAATATCTTCCAGTAGACCCAGTTGGGAAAGCCCCTTAGCTACTTCAATTGGGAAGAGTCTGTCAAACGGACAGTACAGAGAGTTTAAGATCTACGACGCGGCCGGCTCAACGGCGCGGTCTGAATTTCACCTAAAAAATGAACGCTAAGCTAATTTCATTACTGTAATAAATGTTTGACGATTTTCAAATAACATTACAAACTGCTAAGTTTGACTAAAGCGATGCAATGTTTGCTGTAATTTCGACTTTAAGTGATAATGAAAGACGTGATAATGCTTAGTTTAACGTTCTGTTGAGCATGACAAAGCCGTTGAGAATACCCCTGGGACCACAAATTTATTCACAGTTTTTGTCTTGCATGATAGATTTCTTTCTTTCGCAAGCGCGTCGTTGAGCCAGCCGCGTCGTAGATCTTAAACTCTCTTATGTGGGCTAGCTAACACCCTGCAATTATACAAATTTAAAATCTTGTATAAAGGCTTTTAGAAATTATTTGGGACAATTACAGTCACCCTCTCTCCTCTGGGATAATGCACAAAGTCTCTACCTTGACATTTTTACTTTTCTATGTGTAATGCCAAATAATATTATTTAAGAGTCTAGGGAATTAATTACTGTAAGTATAATAAATATTGATTAAGAGGTTTAGAAATTCTTCAGGGTGATTACAGCCTTTAGAGCCACTGCCTATCCTCTTACTCACCATCATACAGGCCAGTGCATCTACTAACTTCACACATCACACCATCCCGAGGTGTCATGGTTATCCTACCCAACATTCGATCAGTTTGATCTGGCAGAAGCTTGAACTGAAAATGTTGAAACAGCTTTGCAAGGATAACTTTGGACTCAAATTTTGCAAACGTTTGTCCAATGCAATTACGAGGACCAATGGAAAATGGAAAATGTATCATGCTCAGGTTTGGGATGTTTCCAGCATCTGCAAATCTTTCTGGGTCAAAAACTTTGGGATCTTTCCAGATTTCTGGGTTCATTGCAAAGTAGAGGGGGCTGCTACCAATTCCATTTCCCTTTGGTATTCGATAGCCTCCAACCATGATCTCTTTTCCCAAAATTCTTGTAGGTGCTATGGCAATGGGATGCTTTCTAAGACTCTCTTCCAATACCTGACCCATGTATTTGAGTTTTGCCAAATCATCAAATTTAACTTCTTGTCGCTCACCAAGAACTTCTTTGATTTCATTCAAAAGCTTTGCTTCAACATGGGGGTTTCTGAGAATTTCATATAAAGTAAATGCCAATGAATTTGCCGTTGTTTCTTGGCCAGCAATAAATATTGTTATGAATTCGTCAATGATCTCCTCTCTTGTTAAACTACCATCATTAATCAAAAGATTCAGCAAATCGTTGGGTACATCCTTGTTTTCAGCAATGTCCTGCATTCGAGTGGTGATGCAATCTGAAGCAAATTTTCGAAGAAATTGGGCTGCATTTATTTGAACTCTTTGGGAATCTGTTTGAAATAGTTTAAATTGAAAAATTGACATAAATACAGAGTTTAAGGGAATGTCAAAGTTTGCTTGTGCTCCTTCGAAGTAGTTGCGAATTGCAGAGGGAAATGGAGATTCTGGGTCCTCGATTGCACTGGTATTGATATTAAATGACACTTGACTTATAGCTTCGAGTGTGACTTTTGCAAATTCTTGAACCATACTGACAGGTTTACCACCATCAGCTACCTTGCCCATGCGAATCAAAAATCTATCTGAAACATCATTGAAATTCGTCATGAAATCTTTCAAGCATTTCCGATGAAAAGCTGGATTCATAATGTGCCGTTTCTTACGCCAGGATAAGTCATCAACATTCGTAACTATGCCATACCCGATACCCCTCTGCCCAAATATAAACCCAAATTTATGATAAACGAAAGGGGCCTTGCATACATATTTATGGTTGTTTATAAATACTTCTCTAATATAGTTTGGATCGGCAAGGTATACGACACATCTGTGAAAATACGTTATCAAAAAGATTGGTCCATATTCCAGTCGCTTTTCCAGCGAATATTCAGCCAAAGTTTTGCCTGTCGCTTTCTTGTATTTCCAGAAGTCAGCAAGGTTGCCAAATATGAAGCTTGAACGCGGTGGTCCTGGCAAATGGGCGTTCTGTTTGTGCACATAATGCAAGTATAGCATAAAACACAGGAATAGACAACCAAAAGCAATCAAAATTGTGCCAATAAACCACAAAAGTATCGAGGCTAAAACGCCAAAATTCATGATTTTTTAAAAAGAAAAAACGCGGAAATGTCCTGCTTTAATATACAGTATACAGATTTATACAGAGTGTCAGAGTCTCACTTTGAGACCGCCGTTGTTGCCCGAGGCGAAGCCGAGAGCGACAACGGTGGGGTTTGTTTTTTTTTTGTTTTTTTTTGGGGGGGGGGGCAATGTTCGTTAACATTTTGCTGTATAACGGAACTTCATTACTTGTAGCTAATACAGTTAGACAAATTTCGGCATGGATTGAAACATTTTTATTCGTTGCAAGACACTAGTATTGATAGTTGTCAGTTATTTAGGAAGGCTTTCTTTTTCCCTTTTTTCATAGGTGGAAACTGATTGGTAACGTTTCTGAGAGGAATTCAGATTCAAATATGAGCTAAATTGTTTAAAAACAGTTTTCAATTTCAATTCATGTGAAAAACGCACGACGTTCGAAGTGCAGTTCTGGTAAAAAAGGCAACCTGCTGCCCCCGTGCTGCCCCCCCCCCCCTACTGTTCAGGCAACGGGGGCGCTGCCCCCGTGGCTCCGGCGCCCCTGGTTGTCTGGTGATCTAGTCGAGCCACAAAACCAGTGCACAAAAGCAACAAAACACACTGCTTTCCCGAGGTCTCAGACTCAGTAAATATTTTTAGGTTCTGTGAAACGTTAGTTCAGACACATTTTATGACAATCTGAAAGCCACAGATTTGGTATATTTTATGTCATAGATAAAAACATTAAGAAGTTACTCTTTCCTCACTTTTGAATTTGATAGAATTACAAAATTGATCCGGGGGGGGCGGAGTTCCAAAGTTTGAGTCTTTCACTTACTATCCATGTCCCAGGACGATCGGACACCTGCCACTCATTTGGGACTGGCTTAGCCCCTGACGTACTGAAGAGCTTATGAAACCGGATGCGACAAATCCATATTGGATCAAGTGTCGTCCTTCAATAAAATAAAATGTTAAAAGTAACTCTACTCATGTTTTCTTTTTGTTGAAACAACAGGTTCATTTGATGCTTGTGATGTTACTCTGAGTGTATATCTACACCGGGCAGCGCTCATGGGCGTACCGGAAGGAAAAAATTAGGGGGACGGAAAGAAAATTGCCCGACTTTTCGAATTCTGCCCGACTAGTATCAAAAAAATTTTTCCGGAAAAATTATTTTGGCGACCTCCCCCCCCCAAAAAAAAATTTCGGTCAGTGTACCATTTTAGGGGTCAAAAAATTTTTCCGGACAACCAATTTTTTTCGGAACATAACACAAATTTTCGAAAAATCGCAAAATTTGCCAAAAAATTTACTTAATTTTAGACAAAATTGACAGAATTTGTCCCATTTTCTTTATTGCAAGCCAAAATTGCCCGACTGTTGATCGAATATTGCCCGACTGCCCAAAAAACTGGGGGGCTACCGCCCCCCCCCCGCCCGGTACGCCTATGGCAGCGCTTGAAAAATATGCCTGGCCACGGTGGGAATCGAACATATACGACCTTTGGACTACCAGCCCAATGGCAATGCTCTGCCAACTGAGCTACGCGGCTCGAGTATGTGATATTTCGGAACCGAGTCTAGTTCCTTCGATATCAATGTAATCTAGTAATCATGAATTTTTTTGTGTGTTGGTGTAATGTACTCAGGTGAATATGATGCTTTGTGATGTTACTCTTCAACGATGGCTCTGGGTACGAGCTTGTCTGAGACTGAGTGTATGGTGTATATCAAGTGTATATCCACACCAGGCAAGCTTGAAAAATATGCCCGGCCACGAAAAAAACAGGTTCATTTGTTTCACAAACACAGAAAAAAACAGGTTCATTTGTTTCACAAACCTTTCAAACTGTAATATATTAATCTTCATCATTTCAAATAATATATAAAGGTAGAAGATCCAACTTCATTTTTTGCCCTGCAAAGCTACAAGGAACTTAATTTCAATGTCTACTCTATTTGATTTGCTCTCTTTTTCTATTAATTTACATGTAAATTAATATTTACAATTTCTCAGATTTTATTATTTAATTATTGCTTTGTAATTTTAATTACGATAAAGGACTATTACAAATCTCTACAGGTTTTTTTATTGAAGGCTTAATTCTAACTTTCATTAAAGTTTTTGTCAGTTCAAAACTTTCAAAACAAAACAAATGATGAATATAATATTAAATTTACAAATAATATGCTGGATATAATGTTCATTTCATGTTGAATGATTAATTAATAAAATTTTTATACTTTCTAAATTTTTATTACTATTTTATTACTACAAATGTTTATTCAAACATTGTAAATGAATAAAATGATATACATTGTTTCATATTGATATATTGTATGTTTAAGGGGAAGTGTGGAGACCATGGGCAGATTTACTGTGGGGTTAGGGGGGCATTAAACCCCCAATAGAATCTCTCTAACCCCTCTTATAAAGTGTTCAACCCCACCAAAATTTCGCTTCACTCCTCCTATTTAGTGTGTAACCCTAACGCCTAACCCCTGTAAAAAGCTCGCTCAGTCAGTGCTGCTTGTAGCCCGTGTGCAGGCCCAAGGGAGCAGGCTCAAGGGAACTTGATAGTGGTCCCTAGCTGCTCCCTTGGGCCTGCACGCGGGCTATGCTGCTTGCAACCCACTAGAAATTTTTCCACCCCTCCTTTAAAAAAAATGAAAATCTGCCCTTGGTAGAGACTAAAAGGAAGGGCTTGAAATTTTCAGCACTATCCAGTGGGATACTAGAAACTTGAGATCTGATAGCCATCCCAAAAACCTAGTATCCAAACACTGAAACAAGGCAAACTGAGTTTTTATAAATTGTAATGAATTTTATAATATACTGAATCTAAGGTATGGTATAAAAGGATCGTAACTGATAGAGAAACATCTGTGGAGGAGAGAAATTTGTACCCAATTGTTACTGAGTTTGTCATGTCCAATATCTAAATTTAAAATCAAAATTTTGTATTCCATGGATATCAGGCTACTGCAAATTTCAAGTATTTGGGACAATTACAGTCACCGTCTCTGTCCATGATCTCACTCCCCATCGTACCTGCCAGTGCGTCTATAAACTTTGCACATCACACCATCTCGAGGCATCAAATTCATCCAACCCACCATTTGATCAGTTTGATTTGGGAGAAGCTTGAACTGAAACTTTTGAAACAGCCTTGCAAGGAAAACTTTGGACTCAAACTTTGAAAATGTCTGTCCAATGCAATTATGAAGACCAATGGAAAATGGAAAATGTATCATGCTCAAGTTTGGGATGTTTCCAGCATCTGCAAATCTTTCTGGGTCAAAAACTTCGGGATCTTTCCAGATTTCTGGGTTCCTAGAAAAGAACATGGACCTGCTAGCAACTCCGGTTCCTTTTGGTATTCGATAACCTCCAACTGTTATCTCTTGTAACACTTCTCTGGTAGGTGCTGGGGGCAATGGGACGTTTCCTTAGATTCTCTTCCATTACTTGGCCCATGTATTTTAGTTTTGCCAAATCATCAAATTCAACTTCTTCTCGCTCACCGAGAACGTCTTTGATTTCATTCAAAAGCTTTGCTTCAACATGGGGGTTTCTGAGAATTTCATATAATGTAAATGCCAACGCATTTGCTGTTGTTTCTTGGCTAGAAATAAATATTGTTAAGAATTCGTCAACGATCTCCTCCTTTGTTAAACTACCATCGTTAATCAAAAGATTTAGCAAATCGTTGGGTACATCCTTGTTTTCAGCAATGTCCTTCATTCGAGTGGTGATGCAATCTGAAGCAAATTTTTGAAGAAATCGTGCCGCATTTATTTGAACTCTCTGGGAATCTGTTTGAAATAGTTTAAATTGAAAAATCCCCAACAATTGAGAGCTTATGGGAATTTGAAAGTTTGCTAGTACCCCATCAAGGTAGTGGCGAATTGCGGAGGGAAATGGGGAATCAGGGTCCTCGATCGTGGTGGTATTCATATCAAATCCCACTTTGCTGATGGTGTCGAGTGTGGCTTTTGCAAATTCCTTAACCATACTGACCGGTTTAGCACCATCAGCTACCTCGCCCATCCGATTCAAAAGTCTATCGGAAACATTGTTAAAATTTGTCATGAAATCTTTCAAGTATTTCCGATGAAAAGCTGGATTCATAATGTGCCGTTTCTTATGCCAGAATAACTCATCAGCATTCGTGGCTATGCCATATCCCAAAACCCTCTCCCCAAATATGAACCCAAATTTACTATATTCGAAAGAGGGCCGAATTAGGTATTTATGGTTGTTTATAAATACTTCCCTGACATAGTCTGGGTGGCCAAGGTATACTGTACATCTGTGGAGAAAAGTAATCAAAAAGATTGGTCCATATTCCAGTCGTTTTTCCGTCAAATATTCGGTCAAAGTTTTTCCAGTCGCTTTCTCGTATTTCCAGAAGTCAGGCAGGTTGCCAAATATGAAGCTTGAACGCGGTGGTCCTGGCAAATGGGCGTTCCGTTTGTGCACATAATGCAAGTATAGCATAAAACACAGGAATAGACAACCAAAAGCAATCAAAATTGTGCCAATAAACCACAAAAATATTGAGGCTAAAACGCTAAAATTCATGATTTCAATCAAACGTGTAAAATGCAGTGAACTATGGTAAAATGAGATTCATGTGAGTTATACTTAAGGTGGCCTGCGCGCAGACTATATAATGCCGGCCACAAAACCTTCGAACCTCGTACCACGTCGTACTATGAGTCGTACCAAGATTAATTGGTGACGGCCACACTGAGCGCGCGGCCCTGGGCTATAAAGATAGAAGATTATCAACTTAAAATACGCCCTGCAAAGTTGCAAGGACTTAAAGATGCGGTACAGTCCGATCTGCGCATGTGCACAAAGGAGCCCTCTTTTTATTTACAAACAGTTTATTTAGGTTTTTATTTCATTTTATGTTCTTGCAAAGCTTGATTGTTGTGTCTTGATAATTTATTATACTCTAGAATCATGAAAATATAAATAGTTGTCGAATAAAATTCAATATTTTGGATACCGAAATGTAAACAAAGCCTTTGTTTACATACGGACTGTACCGCATCTTTAATTAAAACTTTGCTCATTCTCTACTTCAACAAACTTCAGTGGCTACTCTATTAAGCCGCGTTCACACCAGCGGCCCAGGCCTGGCCTGGACCTGGCCTTGACCTGGCCTGGGCCAATTGTGTCGCATTCACACTTGCTTGACGCCCAACTCCAGGCCAAAGCAAACAGGCGTCAATATAAACGTCCTTGTGTTCCACTAAAGTATTTAATTTCGCGCTTTGAATGTTTTTCCCTCCAATTGTATGACAATCATCTGACCAGTTTTTATCGTGGGCAGATATTGCGATGGTAACGGGGCCTCGCCCAGGCCAGGCCCAGGAAAAACCCGTTCACACCAGTGATGATCGAGGCCCAGGCCAGGTCCAGGCCACCTACATTTGCTGGCCTGGATTTCTTGACTTAGGCCAGGCCTAGGCCCAGGCCAGGTAAAACCCGTTCACACCTAGACCCAGGCCAGGTCCAGGCCAGGCCTGGGCCGCTAGTGTGAACGCGGCTTTAGAATAGGCCCTGGCTAACAATTAATAAATACAATAACGCCTACAATTATTTTAGCAATTATTTTGGTAATTGTAACTGCGTTGGCTGAAATGTTGCAAAAATAATATTAGAGACCATGGCATTTAATAGGAATTATACATAGATATTAGTCATTTTGATTTTTTTATTCAGTGTCTTGACTCAACACGGGTGTGATAGGAACTTGAGAAAATGACAGTTGCAACTTGTGTGTTTCGATTGCAATTTGCTTGGAGCAATTTTCCAGCGAACTCAATTTATTTTACTTTATCTAGAATGATAACTCAGTCATTTGGCAGTTAAAAAGTGAAGCCTCGTGCACAGAGTAACATACAGAGGCTTATCTCAGTGAGAAAACCGTAAGGAAGGTGGGTTTTTTTGGCCGCCATGTTCTTAGCCAGTACCTGCACACGCGCAGTATATGTAAAAAGCGGCTTCTCTTTACTGGACTGCCTAAGAACATGGCGCATTTTTCAAAAAAATCCCTTACGCTAAATTAAGCTGAAGTGAGACCTCTGTATGTACTTACTCTGTGCCTCGCGTGAGCAGTGGCATCAGACCTCTCCATGTCTTTTATCTGGAACGATAACATGCAGGGAGAGAAACATGAAGCCAATGCCAACGCCACTTGATGCACGCTGATTTGTAATAGACCGCGCGGTGATGGAGTATTAGAGTATAAGGCGACTGAAACTGACATACTATATGGTGTGGCGATGGACCACACGATGATGGCGTATAAAGGGACTGAAACTGATGTACTATTTGGCGTGGAGAGCTGACGCCACTGCTCACACGCGCATTGCTCATGCAAGGCTTCACTTTTCAACTGCCAAATGACTGGATGTTATCGGCTTATCGCGTTCCAGGTAAATAGATTGAGTTCACTAGATTGCAGCCCTCTACGCCACATAGTATGTCAGTTTCAGTGCCTTTATATGCCATCATCGCGTGCCGGTCCATTGCCACGCCATATAGTATGTCAGTTTCCCTTATACGCCGTCACCGCATGGTCTATCACAAATCATTAGTGAGCTTAAGCAAGTGACATTATTGACAACACGAACGTCAAGAGTAACGTCAGAAGACTGGGTCAAGAGCTGTGATTGGTGGAAAACGTCAATTTTACTTCCGGTCGACGTCCGTGTTGTCAAAAACGTCACTTGCTTAAGCTCGCTATTGTGTGTCAGCACGCTGGCATTAGCATGCAAGAAATGGCGTTGCTTCATGTTTGTCCTGCATGTTATTGTTCCAGATATTAAGACAGAGTTCACTGCAAGATTGATTCAATGTTGCAAAACTCATGGGAACAGAACATTCGGTTTTACTGTAATACTCAATGTCACTTCCAGTAACTTTTAGTAAACAGCCATGAAGATGAAGTTTTTTCCTAAGAAAATAAATTGCGTTTTAAAATGCACTGAATATCACAAATATGTAAAATTCCTAATTGTTACATGTGTAATTTAAATTGACTGCATGCATGTGCTAAAACTTTACTTTGCCAACTTTGAGTTTTCATAAGTGAAAGAGTACGAAAGTTTATTGCTGTGTCGCTGTGACATGATGTTTCGGTGCCCCCCCTCAAAATTTAATTTTTCTGAGGTGACCCCCCTTTCACATCACTATTTTTCTGGTGGCCCCCCTGCAAAAACCACCAGCCCCCCTCCTGATAAAAAATGAACGGTCCCCAAGGCAAACTGAGTTTTTACTGTGGAGGAGAGAAATTTGTTTTGTATCCAAATGGGTACTGAGTTTATCATGCCCAATTATACAAATTTAAAATCTTGTATAAAGGCTTTTAGAAATTCTTTGGGACAATTACAGTCACCCTCTCTCTTCTGGGATAATGCACAAAGTCTCTACCTTAACATTTTTACTTTTCTATGTGTAACACCAAATAATATTTAAGGGTAGTATTGATTAAGGAGTTTAGAAATTATTCAGGGTGAATACAGACTTTAGAGCCACTGTCTAGCCTCTCAATCACTATTGTACAGGTCAGTGCATCTATTAACTTCACACATCACACCATCCCGAGGTGTCGTGGTCATCCTACTCAACATTCGATCAGTTTGATCTGGGAGAAGCTTGAACTGAAAATTTTGAAACAGCCTTGCGAGGAAAACTTTGGACTCAAACTTTGAAAATGTTTGTCCAATGCAATTACGAGGACCAATGGAAAATGGAAAATGTATCATGCTCAGGTTTGGGATGTTTCCAGCATCTGCAAATCTTTCTGGGTCAAAAACTTCGGGATCTTTCCAGATTTCTGGGTTCATTGCAAAGTAGAGGGGGCTGCTAGCGATTCCATTTCCCTTTGGTATTCGATAGCCTCCAACCGTGATCTCTTTTCCCAAAATTCTTATAGGTGATATGACAATGGGATGCTTTCTAAGACTCTCTTCCAATACCTGACCAATGTATTTGAGTTTTGCCAAATCATCAAATTTAACTTCTTGTCGCTCACCAAGAACTTCTTTGATTTCATTCAAAAGCTTTGCTTCAACATGGGGGTTTCTAAGAATTTCATATAATGTAAATGCCAACGAATTTGCGGTTGTTTCTTGGCCAGCAATAAATATTGTTATGAATTCATCAATGATCTCCTCCCTTGTTAAACTACCATCGTTAATCAAAAGATTCAGCAAATCATTGGGTACATCCTTGTTTTCAGCAATGTCCTTCATTCTAGTGGTGATACAATCTGAAGCAAATTTTCGAAGAAATTGGGCTGCATTTATTTGAACTCTTTGGGAATCTGTTTGAAATAGTTTAAATTGAAAAATTGACATAAATACAGAGTTTAAGGGAATTTCAAAGTTTGCTTGTGCCCCTTCGAGGTAGTGGCGAACTGCAGAGGGAAATGGAGATTCTGGGTCCTCGATCGTGCTGGTATTGATATTAAATGACACTTGACTTATAGCTTCGAGTGTGACTTTTGCAAATTCTTGAACCATACTGACAGGTTTACCACCATCAGCTACCTCACCCATGCGAATCAAAAATCTATCGGAAACATCATTGAAATTCGTCATGAAATCTTTCAAGCATTTCCGATGAAAAGCCGGATTCATAATGTGCCGTTTCTTACGCCAGGATAAGTCATCAACATTCGTAACTATGCCATACCCGATACCCCTCTGCCCAAATATAAACCCAAATTTATGATAAACAAAAGGGGCCTTGCATACATATTTATGGTTGTTTATAAATACTTCTCTAATATAGTTTGGATCGGCAAGGTATACGATACATCTGTGAAAATACGTTATCAAAAAGATTGGTCCATATTCCAGTCGCTTTTCCAGCGAATATTCAGCCAAAGTTTTGCCTGTCGCTTTCTTGTATTTCCAGAAGTCAGCAAGGTTGCCAAATATGAAGCTTGAACGCGGTGGTCCTGGCAAATGAGCGTTCCGTTTGTGCACATAATGCAAGTATAGCATAAAACACAGGAATAGACAACCAAAAGCAATCAAAATTGTGACAATAAACCACAAAAGTATCGAGGCTAAAACGCCAAAATTCATGATTTTTTAAAAAGAAAAAACACGGAAATGCCCTGCCCTGTCTCACTTTGAGACCGCCGTTGTTGCCCGAGGCGAAGCCGAGAGCGACAACGGTGGTTGTCGGGGCACAGAATAGATATAGGGCAGAAGGTTCACTCAAGGGTAAAAAGTGTGCCAGAATGTCAGCCGACTTCCGGCGTGGCCGCCATGTTGAAAGCAACCAAACCAGAGGAAATTTTATAGGAGTTAATATGGCGGAATACGAAATAGAGCCACTAAAAGTGCTCTAGATTTTTATGTATCCAAGCAAAACTCATGATACTTTGAAATATCATAAAGAAGAGGTTTTTCTTTGATTTAATTGTCACTATGAGGATGAGAAACGAATTTAAGCGTGGAATTTGGCCATTGTCATACATCGATTAATTTCACCTCGGTCTTTGGCGAATAGTGATAAACATATAAAGTTATATAGCTTATGTGTGGTTAGTCCGATCGCCGTAAAATATGTTTTGAGTGATAGGTTGGTGATATTTCATGGTGTACAAAAGGATTAAGGACGTGAATGCCATGAACAATGAAGGAAATAAATCGAGTTCATCGAACCTTCTGTGAATCTGTGATCAACTATTCAATACAGTGTAATTCAACTTGGCATATTGGCCTACAATCGTTTAATATAAAATAATATTGCGATATGAAAGAAATTGCTGGACCTACTTCTTCTTCAAAAATGAATTTTGGGGATAATATATTGACTTGAACCTACTGAAATCCTTTGGCTGTGACTTTACAAATTTGGTATCACAAGTGACAAGGCCTCTTATGACATTATCATGACTGTTCATTGATATTGAAAAAATAGTTTAAAGATCAATGCTTGGATGAATCAGGGAACTTCATTTACAAAACAGACAATAAGAGACCTGATTTATCTTAACGACAGTTTAAATTATAAATCTGTGAGATTCTAATATACACTCTAGTTTTTAAGATACATATTAACAGTTTACTCTACAATGAGGGGAAAATAATCTGAATATGAGAATTTTCTCTGTTACTCAAGTTTATGTTACATTTAGCACCAAGTATATTATTGTTGCTATCACCTTAGGGACTGTTTACATGAGCCCGGCTAGCCATGCAGGCTGGCCCGGTTAACCAGGCTGAAGGCCTGGCTAGCCAGGAGGTCACCTGAGCTGGTGACTTTACATGGAGAAATTTCAGCCCGGTTATCCGGGCATCCCATTTGACTGAAGTGAGATCTCGGCTAGGCAGATTCTTGTTAAATGATTTGTATTAAGCTGGGTGCCTCGGTTAACAGGACTAGTCGGGCTCATGTAAATAGCCCCTTCGTTATTAAGACTTGTTGGCAGAGTAAAATATATCAGGCAATAAAACTGGTTTCAACTTGCAACAAATCGGATGTTGGTGCATATAAGTTGTAGTGTTGTTTTTACAAAGGGAACCAAGTAAATGAAACTTTAACATCTAGTGTATTCTACTGAGTACAAGTTGTACAACTCCAAAAATGTAAACAACACTTTGATTTGATTTTAGTTCCATAAATCCATATTTTTTATCCATATTATCAATCCATATTTAATTTGATTTTAGTTCCATAAATCCATATAATTTAGTTCCATAAATTTGAGTTTAGATCCATAAATCTATTAAGATCAGTTTCGTTTCTTTAAGGCCTTTGATCAAACAGAAAACACATTTGAAGGTCTTCATGTTCCAACAAATTGCTTTCTGGACTACATCTTGAAATTTGCCAATTGTGAACTTTCTAACACTAAAAAGAAGAACAGAAAATATTTGAAGGTAGCACATCTTTAACCATATGCACTGGACAATATGCTGTGTTGCCAAAACAATTAAGCAATATAACTTCTACAAGTTATATAGCTTAAAATCTTTTACACCAAAGTACATAAGAACTGAACTGTAAAATACAAGGCTGGTGTTAAATAATTACTAAGATGTTGCTACACTGAGTAAATCTAAACCAGGCAAGCTGAAAAATCAACTTGACCACAGTAAGAATGCAGCCCACAACCCCTGGTTTACAAGACCAATGCATTCCAGACTGAGCTACACAGTTTGAATGTGCAATATTTTATTATTTTGGAGCCTAATTAGTCTTGCTCCTTCACTAAGATGGTAAACCTAACAATGCTGATGGTAATTGTAACAGGTGAAATCATTAATTAAGATGGTGCTTGCTGAGTAAATCTACATGAGATTGGTGTGTTGCAATTTTGGGTCATGAACGGTAACTTCTGGCAAGTTAGTCTGCTCCACCATCAATTGCTTGATACAGATGTGAACAAATATCGTACTCATTACTGTTACCAGCAATCAAAGTTTAATATCAAAGTTACAAATTATAAACCAGTTCTGGTGAAAATGGATTCTACTCGTGCAGTTTACTTAGTTTAGTCCAAAAACGTTTTTGTTAATTAAGAAAAGAAGCCCAATACAAAGACATCACATCCCCTTTCACTGATCAGGTATATAATTTAGTACGAATAGTAGTACGAATTATAAGGATATTCACAGTATAATATGCGCCTAAAATTTAAAAAAATCAACCTACTGCGTTCTACAAACAAGACATGACGCATTTTTCTTCAAGTTAAGTGGATTAGTAGTTGCAATAGTTTCAAACTACACTCAGAAAAACAACATATAAATGCGTATATATCCATCGGTGCCAAAACAGCACATACAGTTTGCTGCGTTTAAAATGACAATTTTAGCATCATTCAATAAGCTTTTATTATAATAAAATGAATAATCTACCTTTCTTTTGTACGTCCTGAAAATTTCAATGACATCCACCATAAAATAACGACCATATACCCATTCAAAGTTATGAAATACAAGTTTCGCCATATTAGTTTATAATGTTTTGGACCAGAGTTGGTTGCTTTCAACATGGCGGCCAGGATCCGGAAGTAACATGTGCCGGCACAAAAACTTCAAAGGTTCCGACTCGAGTGAAGCTTCTGCCCTTCTCTATTTTGTGGTCGGGGGCAGACATTTAAAAAGGGCACTTACTCTTGAGCCTTATTTTTTTTTTTGGGGGGGGGGGCAATGTTCGTTAACAAAATTGTTTAAAAACAATTTTCAATTTCAATTCATGTGAAAAACGCACGACGTTCGAAGTGCAGTTCTGGTAAAAAAGGCAACCTGCCCCCCCCCCACACACACACTGTTTAGGCAACGGGGGCAGCTGCCCCCGGCGCCCCTGGTTGTCTGGTGATCTGGTCGAGCCACAAAACCAGTGCACAAAACCAACAAAACACACTGCTTTCCCGAGGTCTCAGACTCATATATTTTTAGGTTCTGTGAAACGCTAGTTCAGACACATTTTATGACAATCTGAAAGCCACAGATTTGGTATATTTTATGTCATAGATAAAAACATTAAGAAGTTACTCTTTCCTCACTTTTGATAGAATTACAAAATTGATCCTGAAGTGGGGGGGGGGTTCCAAAGTTCGAGTCTTTGACAGTATATCCATGTCCCAGGACGATCGGACACCTGCCACTCATTTGGGACTGGCTTAGCCCCTGACCGAAGAGCTTATGAAACCGGATGCGACAAATCCATATTGGATCAAGTGTCGTCCTTCAATAAAATAAAATGTTAAAAGTAACTCTACTCATGTTTTCTTTTTGTTGAAACAACAGGTTCATTTGATGCTTGTGATGTTACTCTGAGTGTATATCTACACCGGGCAAGCTTGAAAAATATGCCTGGCCACGGTGGGAATCGAACCTACGACCTTTGGACTACCAGCCCAATGGCAATGCTCTCCCAACTGAGCTACGCGGTTCGAGTATGTGATATTTCGGAACCGAGTCTAGTTCCTTCGATATCAATGTAATTGTGATGTTTATACTCTTCAACGATGGCTCTGGGTACGAGATTGTCTGAGTGTATGGTGTATATCAAGTGTATATCCACACCAGGCAAGCTTGAAAAATATGCCTGGCCACGAAAAAAACAAGTTCATTTGTTTCACAAACACAGAAAAAAAAGGTTCATTTGTTTCACAAACCTTTCAAACTGTAATATATTAATCTTCATCATTTCAAATAATATATAAAGATAGAAGATCCAACTTCATTTTTTGCCCTGCAAAGCTACAAGGAACCAGAGGCCGCGGAAGCATCTCGAAAGTGGAGGGGCATTGACCGAAAGGGGCACTTTTGTATATGACCAGAATCAAACGATTTTATGACGTTCACGAGCCGAACGAAAATTTTTGAAAATATGGAGTCTCTCTAACGTCGGAAATG